ACAAACTTTTCATTCTAATCAAACGCATATAAGAAAATAAAATTTTCTTTCTATTTTATTTTTTTCACTTCACTTTCTACTTTTTTTCATTTTTCATTTTTCATCGTGACTTTCTTTCTAACCAAATTAAGCCTTCCGAAATTATTTGGACAAAAAAATGGGATAAGAGAAAACCCATCTCATAGCAAAAACCGTATAAATCATTACTTGGCACGATCCTATTCGTCAGGAGATGAATAGGGGGTTTGTTCAATTTGAGTATGGATTGGAACATGATACTAAAATCCAATTAAAACTCAACTATCTAGTAATGTGAAAAATTATTTTGATTTGGCGTATAAATTTTTACTTGTTAAGTATGAATGACTTGAAAATAAGTATTAAAAGTTTTAGACCTATTAATAATATTTTTAGTCAGGAAAGTCTGGCCCGAAAACTAGGTCAACTTGGCTCGAACTCAGTACTCAAATTGCATCATGAATAAGTAATTTGTCCAACTTTCTCCGTAATTTGTCCAACTTTCTCCATACTTTGCTCGACCGATGAACAACCCCACATATAAGCTTATTAATTTTTTCATAATACGAGATGATTTTAATTGAGGTAAAAAAATGTTACAAGATTTTCTTGACATAAGAAAAAATGCTTCAAATATCAATTAAAATATTAGTTAGAATAATGGTGACTTTTTAAAAGCAATTCTCCACAATACCAATTAAATTGAGGTTTCAAAATTTCACCATTTGTGATTTAGAAGAACAACAAAATAAAATTCACTCACCTTAAAAAGTGGGAATAAAATGAAAAAAAATTCAACATCGATAACAAACCTCTTAAGTCGATTGACTTATATTAACTTTTGACTGACTATCAATGGGGCCCATCTCAACATAGGTGTTCTAGAAGATAAGACTGAATTTAAAGAACTCAATTATAATTAATTTCCCTAAATATTAGAGTTCAGCTTATAAAGATCAAGAATATCAATCCCATGCAAACAATCTACCTGGGCGGCAAGACCCAAATTTGGACAATAGGGAAAAATATTAGATGGGGCTTCATGACAAATAAAATATAGAATTATTCAAATATTATTATTTGTTTAAAAATAGTTTTCTTATTTTTGACAAGCAAAAATACAAATTCAACTTTTACATTCAAGTTTTTCGTATATAATTCTATTAATTGAATTAGAATTTATAGACCAAAATGTAATAAAGTCTGTCATTAGTTAAAAAAATATAGAAAAAATTAAAATTTATTAATATAAAAAATAATTTTCCAAATAATAAATGTTAGTAGGAGTTTTAAATATTAAGTTACTCAAATCCTCTTTGTTTTTTTCAATTATATTGTGTGTTAGAAAAAAAAATAACTAAGCAAAAACTCCGACACAGATGAAAAAAGGCCTCGAATCTAAACTAGGACTTGGTTGCTTGTCTCTTGCAAATGAAAACCCCCACCTATTTATAGTTTCATCTTACCATGAATCACTATGATACTCTCAAATATTATATATTTATGGTATTTCTAGAACCTTTTTTTTTTTTTTCCGGTAAGTATTTCTAGAACTTTTTGTGCAAATATATAGCCTTTTAATATGTACTACCAATTCACTACTTATTTTTTACAACTTTTTTTTTGGGAGGGGAAAAGGGATTTGAACCCTTGACCTCAAGTAGACAAAATTTTCACAAGATAAATAATATCATTTGACCAAAAACCAATTGCTAACATTAGCAATGTATTACGTGCATTGCACGTAAATAATTTTTTAGAAAAAAATTAATACTTAAATATTTGGTACAAGTTCCTTCTTAAATCTACAAATATCAAACCATTTAATCGCTTTGAGCCAAGAATTAAAATTGTTCTATGCAACGAGAGCTATGCAATCATACCAAAGATTGCATTTTTCTCCAAAAATATCAAAGACGAGAATTTAAGACTAAGGTTTGGGAAGCTAAAAATTTGGGCTTTACTTAGAGTTCTACTACGTAGACTCACGCTACGAGAGGTAGGGTTTCCCCTATTTAGATGTAATTTCAACCTAAAATATAGCATTTGAAATGAGTAGGCTAAGAATGTATATCACATGTTAAGCCTTGACTAGTGTAACTAGTTGGTCAAATATATGATTTATAATTAATCTTGTAATTAGTAAAATCTTATTATAATTAACTTGATATAAGTTAATGTTATTGGTTTAAAATATGTTAATTGTACATTAGCATGACTTGATGTTTTAGTGGCATATCAAGTTTAATAAGATTATTAATTTGTTTATGTGATTATGAAATAATATGTATGTTAAATAATTATTTAGCATATGATTAGTTAATTCATGGATCTGGTGGTGATCATCATGGGTTAAACAGAAGGAGTGTTTAGAAGTAAGAATTTAGTCGTTTCAACAGACGATGTCAAACTGATGATGCACAAATTAGTTTGCACATCACCTTTCAAGTAAACACTATTAAATAAGTAGAGAAAAAGAAGACAAAGTTTATAATGGTTCGGTCAATTTGACCTACGTCCATTTTGAATGGTTAGGGTCGCCGGATATTTTATTAACTCAAGTGCATAGGTAGAGCTGAGAGTTACAAGCTTAGAGAGAGAGATGAGAGATATGCTTAATTGTGTGTGGTGCCCCCCAAGTGTTGACAGAACTTACAATTTATAATCGCCCTAATAACAGTTTGGGACGAGTTGTTAGCAACCAAATGGTTATTCTAGTGGAAGTAGCGGTCTCTTCTCAATGAGTGAGGCAGTTATGGTGCTCTTCATAAGATTCGGTCAAATGATGAGGTGGGTGTTGACTCTTTCCAAGGCGGCGTGGATGACCCTGCAAATGCCCTTGCTAACGTAGTTCCTTGTACTTAATGAGTCTGACTAGGAGTGGACCGCTATGGGCTAGACTTTGCTAGATTTTCTCTGGAGTTGGACTCCTAGTTAAAACTGGGCTTACATTGTGAGTTAGGCCCTTGGATTTGGCCCATTAGTATCTTTGGGGTATGATTGGCTATCGCAAGTTTTGGACTACATATCTTACAATACTGAGCCAATTCAGCTCTCTCTCTCTCACCCATATACACACAAACATTTTGTTGAGGTATAGATCAATGACACATTTTCAAATAAAGGTATATATATTAAGCAAAAGTAAGATTACTACTAGACGTGTTGATGAAACTCTTTAAACATTGCACATCTATTCAGTCCTATAGTGGCAAAATATTGCAAACCCTTCCCCCTCTTTGGGTGATGTACCTAACTTGAGATGGCCTTTGAAAGAGGTTGCTTATTGAGGGTTCTTTGCTTTTTGAGATACTTTTTCTTAAACATTTTATAAATTTTATTAGGAAAATATTTGATATCTAAGGACAACTTAACAATTGTATCTCTTTCTTGACAAATATAAAATTTTTCAATAGTATAATTGTCGATTTAGTGCTTGAGGCAACTTTTATGGTTAGATCACTCACTGCATTGACATCCGTTAGCCATTATTGATGGATATAGGTTTTCTGACATTTTTCTAAGAAAAATCAATTATTCATATACTTTTGAATATAAATTATGCATGTTCATGTTGATGGAAAATAGAAATCACACTATAAGAAAAGAATTTTTGGATATGGCTTTGAAAGTTAATAAATGCCAGATAAAAAAGGATGAGTCTAAACATTTTCAATAAAACACCTGAAATGCCCAAAGTTTGTCCCAATGCCGAAATCAAATGTCTTTAAAAACTATTTTTCTTGTATATTGTCGGTGGTAACAAACCATTCTAGCTAAAATCCTTTATGGGTAGTATAATTGAAACTTTCAATAAAATCATTTGGTATGCACTCAATGTCAAATACAACTTGAATAAAAAAAAAATTGGAGCATATTAGTGTGTCATATGGTATATGTTAGGAATAAACATAAATTGATTGATTAATTAAATGCTTAGATATTCTTATCTAATTTCGATTCAAGGATTTTCTATTGGACTCTCTTTGGACACTAGCTCACTAAGCTTAGAATTTTCTTGGTCGACAATTGTGACATATTTTTTTTTCTCTCACTTTGACGAGCCTGTAATAAGGATTAGATGTAGGAAGCTTCCAATGATGGTCGGGTAGAAAACATTATTTACATAAAATTGTAATGTTAGTAAGCCTCACCAATGGGCTTTTGGTCTAATAATACTCATTGTCCTGTGAAAGTTTTATCTTCTTTAAGTCAAGGGTTCAAGCCCCCTAAAAAAAAAAGTACTTTTGAAAAAAAAAAAAAAAGTAACCCTCACACTTTGAAATGATATGGGTAAAGTTATGTAATGGACAGTTGAAAAGATGACAAATAATTTTTAATTTATTCACAAAAAAATATGTTAAATTAGTTGACGCACAAAACACGCATACACCATCTAGTGTATATATATGTGTGTGTGTAGTTCTAATCTATATATAGATGCAGATAAACATAATAGAGAAACTCTTAAATTTTATAAGCTGTTAGTTTTAAATTTGTTTTAATTAAATATAATTATTGAGTGTATTTTGGACAATAAGAATTAAAATGAAATTAATTCCAAATAAATTTTTGAGTGAATTTAAATCCAAATAATTCTAGGAACAACACCCAAATTTTCCTATATTTTTGGCTCTTCTGTTGAGCCGGCTTCAGTGGCCCAAAGATCCCAAAAATGACTATTGGAAGATAAGTTGTAATTTAAACAACTCAGTAATTTACCTAAATAATCGGGTCCAAGAACTGGATAGAGAACATCAATCTCACGCTAATCACTCCTCCAGATAGAGCTCAAGAAAATCTTCTTTCAAAGTCTTCAGTGGGCCCAAAGATAACTATTGGAAGATAAGTTGTAATTTAAAGAAGTCAGTGATTTAGCTAAATAATCGAGTCCAAGAACTGGATCAAGAACATCAATCTCACGCTACATCACTCCTTGTCCAGGTAGAGCTCAAGAAAATCTTCTTTCAAAGTCTTCTACCATGGAGAACAGACAAGCGGTTTCAAACCCTAGTGATATCTCTGCTCCAACTCAAGCTCTCATTCCTGAGCACGACAATGGCATTTTAACTTATTCAGAACGGGATGCTTATTTCGATACGTTTCCGCCCGGTTATCGGTTTATGCCTACCGATGAGGAGATTGTTAAATATTACCTGCTGAAGAAGGTGAAGAACGAACGGTTGCCACCCAACAAGATTCATGAGGTTGACGTATACAAACACAATCCTCAAACACTAGCAGGTGAAATAAATCTTTTCCTTCCACTTCTTTGAATATGTATCTGATAATGTATTGTAGAATGAAACTAACACTGAACGTTGCGTATTGTGTGTTAGGGTTTACCGGTTTACTTAGCTGTGGTGCTTGAATGCCTTGTTATGTGTACCAAAAAAAAAGGAATGCCTTGCTATGATATCTGGATTTTGTTGGGATTTTATGAATCATTACTTGAGTGCTGTGTATATTAATCACTAGAACTGTTACCTTCAACGCCACATGTTTAGGGTTTTTCTTTCAATACGATATTCCTCTCAATGGTTTCTCTTATTCCGGTTTTCTTTTGGTTGATAATTAATTTTGTGTGTGTATTGATGTGCGTTAGAGTCATATCAATGGTAATGAGATAGGTAGTCCAGGTTCAGCGAAGAATATATGCTTTGATAAAAAAACAATAAAAAAACATGATTTAATGTAATCAGCCCCGGATATTCAGAATTGTAAAGTTTAGTTGAATTGAATTAGCGTGTCTTGGACTGGTATTTATATTACCCGTTTATAGGCTCCCAAGAATCAAGATTTTCTTCTCCGGCAATCCATATATGATCTTGCCTTTTTTTTTTTTTCTCTTTCCCTGTGATTTGTGTCTGCCTGATACCACATAGTTAGTATACTGACTTACCCACAAGAAAATAAAACAGTATAGTTTTTCGACTTCCGTTGGCCTACGTTCTTTTAGGATTTTATCATTAAGATTCAAGTAGTTGCTCAAAACTGAAAAATACGTTCATGGAGAAGGTTATTTTTTGTGTTTTGAAGTTGTGGAAGAATAGGAGGTTCAAGTGAAACTCTCTTTTCTTAGTGATATCGAAGTAAATATTTTAGAATTTTTTTTTGCTACCTTGGATTTGTTTCTTGCAGATGCACGAAAACTCTATTCTTTTTTCTTTTTTTTTAAAGTTTGTATTTTTTTTTTGGGGAGAGAAAAGGGGAAGAGAGATTCGAACTCTTGACCTCAATAAGACAAAACTTTTACAAGACAAGAAGTATCATTGAAAACTCTATTCAGACTAGCTTATGCTCACCAATTGTGCATTGTCTTGCTCAGATAATGCTACAAGGGTTCCTCCTGGTAAATTACTATCTAGCATGATGATAGCTTTTGAGACCTAATATCTTGACCTTGTAGTGTAAATTGGACTTATTTATGAAGATCATGTCAACTGGCATATCTCGAAAGGTAAAGTTTGTATTAAAAAGAAGCTATACATGAGCAAACAAAAAAACAATTAACGTTGTCCATCAAAATAGAGAAGACAGATAGAATTCAAAGGGAAGTATAAAGGATACTCAATACTTCCCAAGAATCCACGTCCAAAGGTTATATAAAATAGTCCTCAAAAATAATCATGCTAAGCAGCTGAGAGAAAGATCTCATAGATGCAGCATCCTAAGATTCTGGTTGAAGTACTTGAATTTAGTAGACATGAGTCTGTCCTTAATTGCTTGTTGATGACTTGAATTAGAGTATTGTGGTCCTTGAATTGGTTAAAGAACACTCTAGAGTTTCTTTCCACTCATTTATGATAAATTGTAGATACAAGGCTAAGCTTAAGGATGACAGAGAGTGTAGATTTTACCTTCCAATGGGTAGCAGCCCAATTAATGAAGGAGAGTCAAGGAGAAGGAGACCACTGAGTTTGACTGCAGGTGAGAATGGATTTCTAAACACCATGGGAGAAAGTGCTTTCAAAAAAGAGATAAGAATGAGATTCAGGGAATTGTCTACAAAGGATGCATCCCAAATTCACCTAATTGGCAAGAGAGTGAGCTCTATCTTTGGTATATAATTGGGTCGATACATTGGTTCAAGTCATTAGATTGTATCTGTCATAATGCACTTTCAAGTTCATGAATTATTACTTGGCTGCTACATATTATTTTAATTTCTCTTGTGAAAATTATATTGTTTTTGTATAATTATTTTAATTTTCATTGCAGGTGTGTTGCCATTATTTTCCTTCTTTTTTCTTTCTTTTTAGCACTTTGAGATTAGTGTCATGTATCTTGACTTGTTTAATAAATAGAACATAATTCTGATTGTAGTTTCAATAAGATTTTGTCAGCAAGACATAATAGGGCATGCTTTCTTTCTATTTTGGGAAATTTTCAGTGGAGTTCCATAAAATATAGAAGGAATCTGTTTGTGATGATAAAATGATCGAGTCAAATTGCCAGTTTTGAAAATTTGCAAGTGGATGAGGTAAGGGAGAACTACATTTTATCCCACTAAAGTATTAACTCCATATCACATTGCTGTCTTTATGATTGATTTTCTTACCTTAATGTGAAATCAATTAATATAATTGAAAAGATAGAGTAAGAAAATTGATATTAAATGGACATCGCTGCTAGATTTTGAAGGTACTACTGAAGTGTAATTTCCCCGTGACTTAATATTCCAATGTGGTTTTGTTTCCTCAAGTTTTTCTAGGACTCTTGTTCCTTTTTTTTTTTAAGTAATATTACACTAACTAAATTTATTGACTAAATATCTATTCCAAATGACATGACAGTATATTATTTAGAGTCTTTATTGAAACTCAAATGACATGATATTGAATAAAGAAACTCAACTCAACTGTCATATCATTTGGAACGGATATTTGATCCCAAAATTTGATCACTCTAGTATTTTTTTTTTTTTTTTTTTCGATGTGTGGAGACGTTTCCATTAAATTTTTCATACCGAGTGAAGCCTGACATTTTTTGATTGCTAGAAAACTACCAACCAAGTGGAGAAAGGGAATGGTACTTCTTCACACCAAGAAAGAGAAAGTATAAGAATGGAGATCGACCGAATCGGGCTACAGTGGATGGCTACTGGAAAGCTACTGGTGTTGACAAATCTATCAGTTCCAATGATATTGTGGTTGGTTTCAAAAAGGTTTTGGTATATTATAGTGGAAAAGCTTCAGGTGGGGACAAGACTTCTTGGATTATGCATGAGTACATAGCTAAAAATGGTCCAAGGAGGCCAAAGGGTTCAAGCGACATGAGGGTACTAAACTACTAAACTTCTTCTAGTCTTTATGTTTTGAATTGAATACGAGGAATTTAGGGGTTACTATATCAAGATCCCATGTGTTACTCATGCAAGGAAGTCCTGCGTTATTAGGGCTGAGCCAAGATTTATTTGTAGTGGTAAGAACTTAAAACTGATTAGTAAATTAGTTTAATGACGCGATGTGTCACTGCAAAGTGAATGAAAGAAATTTGTGACTGAAGAGACACTAGCGTATGAGAGAATTTTAAGTTTAAAACATTAACTTGTTAAAGAATCCCATTTTTTTCTTGTTTTTCTGAAATATAACATTATCTTTCAATTTTTTACATACTTTTTAGTTGGTGCAAGTTCAAAAACTCTTTACTTGACCACAAAAACTTGGAAAACATAGCGGCCATTGCCACCACTACAAATCTGCATCTGGATTAATGCAATGCACTGGTTTCCTTGTAATTTTGCAACTCTGCAGTTTGTGTGTCCCAAAAACGCGTGGTTAGGAGGGATTTTAGATTTAAAAAGAGTGTATAGTCATATTTTACACTTGTGCTAACTCTTGATCATCTTTGTTGTTTGCAGTTGGATGACATAATTCTGTGCAGGATTTATAAGAAAGCAGAATCGAAGAAAAAAACAAATGAGCTTCCACATGGAGAGGCTCCGAATCAACAAGCCACCAACAGTGTTCAACCATGTCAGATGGATAATCAACATGTACAAGCAGAAGTCTCAACCATAGTTCCAGGAGAGTGTTATATGCCATTCAATGAGAATTTAACAACTGAAATCAACACTGCTTATAGTTACATTGACAATGAGGCTTCCATGTCATACTTCAACCAGTTCGATAGCTTCCCGTATCATCGGTATATCCCAAGTGGATTCACAGAAGTTCCACAGAGTCAATTCCTTCCGTTCGATCATTGTCAAGCTATGATGGCTAGTGTATCCGAGTATCACGATGCAATGGGGATGGCCGGGCCGAGATCATGGAAGCAGTCAAGTCATTTGATGGAAGACAATCCCAGCCTCACACAGTTCAATCAGTTGCCTTGTGATTGTATGCCAAGAGAAGAAGAGGAAATGGGACTTCCAAAGGTAGATCCTCGGGACCAATTTCTTTTTAATTTTGAGCCAAAGCAGTCAGATCCTAGCAACAGTGACTTCAAAGATTAAATCAGAATAGAGTATCCTTGTGTTCCAAACACAAAAAATAAAAAATAAAAAATAAAAAAAAAGGAAAGAGAGAGCATCCTTAGCTTCTTGGGATATTTTTTCAGTTTTTTTAGGGAATTTAGATTGCGGTTTAGTAACCAATGGGTCGTTAGTCTAATAGTACTCTTTATTTTGTGAAAATTTTACCTTGTTAAAATCAAGGTTTTCAAATTCTTAACCGTTCCCGTTCTTCAAAAAAAAAAAAAGAGATTATGGTTTAGTTATAGTTATTTCAAGTTGATTTTTTCCCTTGGTTTGCATGCAGTATAGGGAATTTATATGTATGCTGGGATATTTATGAGGTTATATGTATCGGGAATTAACCCTTTTACTGTCATTGCTTTTCTGCTATCTATAATTTAGAGTTTAATATCTAGTGGCAAAGATGCCATCTTTCTTAGCTATTTCTATTTACACAAACATGTGTAATACATGAGAGAAAATGGACAAGGAAGGAAAAAGTTTATGGTACACGCTGTTTTATTGCTAGAATGCAATGATAAACCCGTACAGTGTGCAGTACATTGTTTGGTTTTTTTTTTTGGGTAAAAGGATGTTCAGACTTGTCCTAACTATTCTCTTGAATTAAAGGCCGACTACCATGATTTGAGTTGGATTAGAGCATATCTCTAAAGGAACAAAGTTAGTTTGCCCCTAGGGGTGTAGAAATGAATTGAATCTCTAATTTTTTTTTTCTGGAAAATAAAGTGATATATATTGATAATAGAGCAAAAAAATGTACATAAAAAAGGGGTGCCCTCCATCAAAAGTAGGCGTCGCCTACTGCTCCAGCAACATGGAAACAAAACACCAAAAAGGGCAATATTGACCTCTGAAATATCGATGGTCAAATTCAACCACAAAACTATTCCTAATGGCTTTGTTATCGCGAATCATTTTTGTATTTGACTATTAGCTATTTTTGGTAATTGATTGCATATATTAGGAGATTACTGGATAGAAATAAGTTCAAAGTGGTTATACCTTGAAGAGGTTTCTCATTAAAAATAAAAATAAAAAACAAACATTGATAATGATTTTATGAACTCACGAATGTTTTTTTGGTGATGAGCAATTTCCCTGAGGCAAGGTCGTATTAAACCCCTTGCAATGCTTGGACGGAGCCAAGATTTGATAATAAGGATTTCAAATGATAGCATATCTAATAATTTCATTTCACGACGTCATTGAAGAATTTTTTTTGTTTCTATCAAAATAAATTGTCAGACTTTATATTGGAATGCTTTCTTTAACCTCATGAATCTTTTTTTTTTTGGGTAATTAAACAGTATATTGATATCCAAGGAGAAATTACAAGAAATGGTAACACTTGTCTACCAAAAATTTGCAAGATTAGAACCAAACACAAACAAAAACAGAGAAAATCTAGGGAGATTGCTGAATATTTTTAGTATTCTCCAAAGATTTAAACCAAAAAACATTCTATGTAATTAGCATAGATTCTACATCATCCTCAAAAAAGAGAATTGGGTAGCTGCTATGAGTAAGCAATTCTTCGATTCTCTGTATTTTTCTTAATCTTCAAAGACATTAATCTATTCCTGACAGTATTGATGATTACTTGCTAGATTGTCACATGATCCTTTTGCTGGTTCTTGAATATCCTTTGATTCATCTCATTCCATATCGTATAAACCATTCCTGCAAGACAAAGCTTCTTGATCACAATGGCAAGATTCTTCCCCTTCCAATTGTTTGCTGACTGGAAAATAAAAATCCTACCAAGGTAATTGTTGCCAAGGCAGGTGACATTTCTCAAGAACATAATTCCAGATCCTTTCAGAGTAGGTGCAATCAAAGAATAAATGAGAGTGTGTTTCAGGAGTTACCCTACACAAGACACAATTTAAATACACACTTTGCATATAGCTATGAATGCGATCCTTGGTTGAAAGTCTGCATCTATAGGCAAGCCAAAGAATGAAGCTCATCTTTGGAATACATTGACTAAACCAAAGAAGCTTGTGCTAGGGAACCAAAGGCTGTCTATATCTTAGTTCCTCCAGGGCAGAAAAAGAGTAGAAGGAGCCACTAGGGGTTACCAACCATTTAACAACATCCTTCATTTCAGGTCTAGGAGAGTAGGATGGCATGGAAACCTCAATTTGCAATAACTCTCTGTTGTTTCTAGCATTAGCCCTAGGCCATCTCCATTGATTTCCATGTATAATATGGCATACTTTAGCTAATAGTCCCTCACCCATTTAGACCAAATGTTGCTTTCATCAGAGATTAAATGCCAAAGGTGTCTGAGCATTAATGCTTTGTTCCAAGTCTTAAGATCTGTTGTGATGACTTGTATTCCAAGTCAAATTGTTTTTTTTATTATTTGGAGTTTTATTTTTGTGGGTAGTCTGTTGAGAATAGTACACAACAATGCAACACGTCTCTTACACAACAAAAGGGTCATCACTTGGTATTTTATATGAAATAGGACAACGTGGTTTAGTCCAAGTGTGTAATGGACTTTTATAAGTCTTTGAGTTGGAATGGAGACTACTTTATTAAGACATGAATTATCTTTGTCAGATGCATGTAAAAAGACTTTGTGGTCTTCTCCAGCGGGTGGTAATTGCGGCATCAACGACAAGGAGGAGTTCTCTTGTTTGGCAATTTTGATCTTGCTCACCAATAATTATTGTGATATTGGAATAAAGTGTTTGATACGTTCTCTTGTTGCTTTGTTTAACGAGAACTGTCTTGTAATCTCCAACCTTTCAATAGTGAAATTTTACCGTTGTGGAACTTTATCCAAGGAGACAGATCAAACTAAAGATATTGATATTGAAGATAAAATACACAGTGCAATTCAGTTGTCTCTTGTTGATGAAGTTCTTCGTGAGGTTATCAATGAAGACAAAGCCAAAGGGTTATGAAAAAAGTTAGAGAGTTTATATATAAAGAAGTCTCTCGGCAACCGCTTGTATCTGAAGCAACGGTTGTACACATTCAAGATGAAGGAAGGTACGCTCATTAATGAACATCTTGATGAATTTAACAAAATTATTATTGATTTAAAAAATATTGATATTAAAATTGGGGATGAAGATCAAGCCCTGATTGTGTTATGCTCGTTGCTTGATTCGTTTGATAATTTTGTTAATTCGATGTTGTATGGGAGAGACTCAATCTTTTTAGTTGATGTGAAATCTTCTTTAAATTCTAAAGAGTTGCGTACTAAATTGAACAGTAAGGGCAGTGATACTCAAGCTGAGGTTTTATTTGTGAAGGGTCGTCATGATAATTCTTCTAATAATAATAGAGGTCGATCCGTTAAAAGAAATTCAAATAAAGGAAAAGAAAAAGCGAAATATCGATCACAATCTAGGAAGAAACATAATAATGTTGAATATTTTTATCGTCATAAAATTGGTCATTATAAGCGTGGTTGTTTTAGGTTGAAAAATAAAGCGGGACAGAAAAAATCAAATCCTTCCAATTTCTCTAGTGTTGCTGGTGTTGCAGAAGATACATCTGATGGTTCAAATAATATCCTTACAGTCTCTGATGGACGTTTTAATGATGAATGAATTCTTGATTTGGGTTGTTCCTATCATATGTGCCATAATAAGGATTGGTTTACCACCTATGAGTCAATCAATGGTGGTTCAGTCTTAATGGGAAATAATGTTGCTTGCAAGACTGTTGGAATAGGTATTATCCGAATTAAGGCACATGATGGGGTTGTGAGGACTTCGACAGATGTACGACATATTCCAGAATTAAAAAAGAATTTGATTTTCTTGGGTACTTTAGATTCCAGTGGTTGTAGGTTTTCTGTTGAAGGTGGAGTTATGAAAGACTGCAGAGGTTCCTTGGTTGTGATGAAAGGTAAAAAGATTAATGGCGTCTATGTTCTTCATGGTGATACTGTGATTGGTGCAGCTGGTGTGTCATCATAAAAATTTTTAGATTTAGATACTATCCAGTTATGGCATATGCGTTTGAGTCACATAAGCGAGAGGGGCATGGAAGTCTTGTGTAAACAAGGTTTGCTTGGCAAACAAAAAATTGGGAAACTTGATTTTTGTGAGCATTGTGTATTTGGGAAACAGTGCAGAATCTAGTTCAGTACAGCTATTCACACGACTAAAGGTACAGTTGATTATATTCATTTAGACCTTGGAGATCCTTCTCAGGTTTTATCTAATGGTGGTGCTCGGTTTCTTTTGACCTTTATTGATGATTATTCAAGAAAGGTTTGGGTATATTTTTTGAAATGCATGAGTGATATTTTTGGGACTTTCAAGCAATGAAAAACTTTGATTGAAAAATAGATAGGCAAGAAAGTCAAGCGTCTCAGAACAGATAATGATTTGAAATTTTGTGGAGGTGAATTTAATGAGTTTTGCAAAGATAAAGGCATTGTTAGGCTTCGTACTATCCGATCTATTCCACAGCAAATAGGATTACAGAGAGGATGAACAAAACTCTTTCAGCGAGAGCACGTTGTATGCTCTCTAATGCAGGATTGTATAAAGATTTTTGGGCTGAGGTTGTCAGCATTGTTTGCTATTTGGTTAATCGTTCTCCATCCACTGATATTGAGTTGAAGACTCCACATGAGGTATGGTCTGGTACTCCTGCTGATTATTCTGATTTAAAAATATTTGGTTGCACTGCTTATTCTCATGTGAATGATGGTAAACTTGAGCCTAGAGCTAAGAAGTGCATATTGTTATGCTAATGGGGTGAAAGGATATAGATTGTGGTGTTCTGATTCTAAATCACCTAAGTTTATAATCAATATGGATGTTGTATTTGATGAATCTTCTATGTTTCATTTGAGAAAGGAGTTTGTAGTTTCTATAGGGAAAGAACAGGATTATAGCAAGGAGGTGGAGCTACAGGTAGAAACTTCACATAAAGTACTTGAAAGTATTCCAGTTCAATCTATATCAGATTTGCCTGGTTCTAGTTCAGGTGATGATCCACAGGAG